TCTGGTTTTGCCGACGGGACCGGCGACGCCGCTGAGGCACGGATCTCTGCCGGGCCCCCGCCTGCCGTTATGAAGCCGAGGCTGAGCAGCGTTTCCACGAAGGGCCGTCCGTGGGCCGCTCCTCGCCTCCGCTCCCGATCGCTGCGCGAGTTTCTCTGCCCCCGCGGTCTCGGCCGCCTCCTGGCGCTCGCGTGGAGCTCTCGACGCGCTCGGTAAAAATCGCACTCTACGCCTTCTCAGTTTGGCATCGTAAATATCAATAACACACGTTTATTCTCTTGGCCGAGACATTTGGCCTGGGTCCGCAGTAAACAGGAGGCCGGAGAGGGAGGGTGAAGGCGTGTTGCCCGCTGAAAGCCAGCATGGCCTGAGCTGTTTCTAAGCAACGTGTCGACGTGGTGCTTACTGAGAAAAATGCCCCGAAGGAGAGGAAAAAACAGTGTGAGGTCTCAAGCATTTCAACTGCCATTTTAGCATGGAGACTTCCTGCCGGCTGGGTGTTTACGTAGGAAATCTGGTTTCTGAGCGGTTTAATGAGTGAGGGCTTTCATAGGTTTTCATGTTATTCTCGGAGGTGCTCTGTGTCTGTGTTCGCTACTGCTTCCAGCTCTTTATAGCATGAACGAAAGCTTTCTTCTTGGACAGTGGGGCTTGCCCTGCTCTTAAATACCTTCAGGCAAGGGAGAATAATTTTTAGAATTGTACTGCTTCTGTGTTTTTGCTTTTGGGTTTTTACTCATGTTTCTGTGTATGATAGGTGACCTGCTGTGTTTTGTGTTAATTTACACCCGTAGTTTACTAACCAAAACTACCTCTGGACAGTGGTTGTACGCTGTGAGGTAGGCAGGGCACCCAGGTGTTTGTTGCCTTTGGGGTGGTAAGTTTTTCAGTAAAAAAACTTTTCAAATGGAGAGGCATCATCTCCCATGGAAGTAAGGTTAACATAGTCTTTAGCACTGCAGATCTAATTGAGTTTATGGATGAAGAAGAGCTTAAACTTTGTCCTTTTTTTAAAAAAAATTAATTTGATTTTACTTTTTCTCATTCTAGAACATTTTTGTACAATTACAGAAATTGTCTTTTGTTTATGTGCTGTGATATGCATAAGGCTTGTGTGAGATACTGCCCAACTGAGTATTACCCATCATAGCGCTCTGCACTGCGTATTACCTGAAGAGCTTTTTATAATAAGATAGTGGTGGTGGTGTTTTAACTTAAATTGCTTATTTATTGAAGCAAATGATGGTCCATTGACTTTAACGAAAGCATTGACATGCTTCCAGTTGCATGTGTTTTGATTAGTATTGTATCAGAACAGGTTTTAAGGGGGGGTGGCATGTAGATAGTTAAATACAAAATTATGTATAACTGGGTATGATCATGTAATGTTGTCTTTCCCAACATGGAGGTATTAGCTGAACAGTTTGATTATTTTTCTTCTGAGTTCCAACCTTTCTTTCTTTTTTGAGTTCCTAACTGATCCTCCATATTGAATTGTTACTAAATTGTCTTAGAAGATTTTTCACATCTCTGTACTGTTTGTCGAATACTTGTTAATTGATGTGTTCGAGGCACAACTTGAAAGATGTCTCGAAACAGTTTGAGATTGTTTCAGTTACATAGCTTAAGGGGCAACTCTTTGCTTTAGTCTGAAAAGTAAAGTTTTAAATGGGAGCTTATAAAGCCTCAATAAATGCTTGAGTTTTGAATGCTGTCGAAGATAGTTTTTAATTTGCATAATTTTTTTCTTACTCGGAAAAGAACAAAGAAATCTCCAAATGTAATAGAGAGACCTAACATCTATGAGAGTGCTAATGTAGCTAGAAGTAAAGCTGCACAGGGCAAGTTAAATGTGCAAAAATATGGTAAGGCATGAAAACATAGAAACTATGCTGTAAAATACTACTTCAGTACGGAGTCTGATTCTTCAATCTTTTTTAGTGCTGAATAATGTCTTATGCTCCAAATGTTGCAAGTAGAACTAGATGTATGATAATGGAACATATGTTTTGAGAAAGGCTATCATTATCTGACTATGTGATAGATTTTCAGTGACTTCGAATTCAAATGTGTTGATGTTAATAATATTCAGCATTTATGGTATATTTCAAATCACCTATGCATGTTAAAGTTACTACTTTTAAAATACCAAAATATATTAAATAGAACACAATACAGAAAAAAGAATGATCAGTAGACTGTTACTCTCCACCTCTTTTTTTTTTTTTTTTTTTTTTTTTTTATATAAATCCCACTCCCACTGTTTCTCTGTCTTTGACTGAAGTTTCTGTTTATGTCCTGGTTGACTAAATCATCAAACAGGTACTTTGTTTCACACAATGTGTTTTTAAGCTTTGTGATTGCTCTTTCTTAATTTGATTTGTATTTAAGTGCTTTGTTAAATAGGGTGTGAGCTTTTTGAAGAAACTGCCAGTTATAGGAAGGTAAACACATCTTTAGTATTCTTTTCGGCTAAGTACATGATGCTTTCTAAAATGGGCAATCAGACTGCTTCTGGCTGCAAACCTTTTAGACCTTCTGGTTAAAGAGGTTTTGTGGCACATCAAATGGATGTTCTCTTCAGAGTGCTTCATTTAAACAAGTGCTTAGAGACTGCATGGCATTAGTTGAAAAGTATGGTGACTGTAAGTGGGAGTTTATTAACTCTGTAGACCCTATGCAGACTTTCTTTTATGGTATAGCTAACCCAGCGGGTTTTCCTGTAGGAAAATGAGAATGCTCCTTAACTCTGCAAATAGTTGTAGTCACTGTAATTTAAAGGAGAAGGCCAATAATAAATGAGATCTGTGTGTTCTTCAGTAAATATAGCTATTTTAAAAATAAGAGAGCAAGGCCTTAGTATGTAAAGTGTTGGTAAGAACTATTAATAGGAAAATATTTTTGTGTTGACACTTTTGCTGCAGAAATCCCACAATTGTTTTAATAGACTCTGGTGGTGGTGGTGGCAGTGGGAGCTCATGTACAAGCAAATCTCTGTGCCCCATCCTGCGTGGCAGGGTACTTACTGGTGCTTTATTTGGCTGAACTGTATGATCAGGTTGATTCAGTTGACAGACGATGGAAAGGCTTTTGCATTGTAGGTAAGACTTGTAGACTTTGTTGTGTTGAAGTTGGTTACAGCTATGGATATGCAATCAGGACTTAAGATGCTACTAAAGAGGCAGTATGCTGTTTTAGTAACTGCTCTTTAGACATAGGAAACAATGTCATTGTACTCCAAAAGCACTCGGTGCTAGTAGTGTTGTCCTTGGTAGCAGTGGAAGCTTCAAGTATTCCCTTTCACCTCAGTGCTGCATTGCATCAGGCTGCAAAAGGACTCAGGAACTTGATCTGCTCTTTGGAAGAAACAGAAATAACTAAAAAAATCTATGAGAAAAGTATTTAAGTTGTATCAGTTCCATAACTGTGCCATAGGATGACTTTACAAAAATGGAATACTTCAAGATGGCTCTAGTAAACAGGATACCTGTGGTATTGTGGTATGCCTCTGAAGATGATCAGGGACCTCTGTGGGCAAGACAGAGGTCTCTAATTCAGCAGTAGTTTGTTTCTGCTGCTTCTCCAGAAAGTACCATATTGGGGAGCAACATGTCCCAAGTTCTGGACGCACTGGAATCCCCGATGCTGAGCAGGATTTTAGGGGGAGCTGGATGTACCTGGGGACAGGGTTCAGCACCTGATCATGGCCAGCGGTATAAAGCTTTTGTCAGGATTCAGCTTCTCATGAGTTCAAGGCAGATACTGGGAGTTTTTGTCACGCAGAGGTGACTGTCCAAGTTACCCTGTTCTAGATATCTGCAGAAGTTTGATGGAAGCCCTTAACTGGCTGGAGCAAGATTCTCCTTATCAGCTACTATGTTGTATCTTCTGTACATGGGACTCTTGATGAGTTTAGAAACATACTTCTGCTGTTTCTTTCTTTCCCCACTAGACCACTGCAGGAATTGCAGATTTGCTGTCAGGTTTACAGTACTTAAAGTGAAGTCCATGTTTCTAACTGCCAGTCCTGCAGGCTGTATGTGAACACCTAATCCTGCTATCCTCGCTCGTAGCTATATAGAAAGATTTGTCAGGTTAAACTATATGTTCAGTTACCTCTATAGAAAACATGCCTTTGTACAGGAGCCATACTTTGGCTTACAGTGTGGTGTGGTTTTTTTTCTTTTTTTTTTAATTAGTGGCAGCTTGCAATAAGAAAAGGACCCAGCCTTGACTTTTAGGTCTTGAAGTTTACAGGGCTGACAGTTTAAACTTTTAAACTAAGCAATTCTGGTATGCAGTCTTTCAGTCATTTAAAAAAAAAAAATCACCAACCCCTCCATTTCATGTCTCAAGTCCAGTAATTTGGATTAGCAATAATCTTACCTTGTTTAAAAAAAAAAAGTATTCTATTCTTAATTTTTGCAAAGTTTATTAGCGGATGTTGTGGTATAGTGTCTTTTGCAAGACATCTCAGTTGGAAAACCTTGTGAAATTTATTCATCCTGAAAAAGAGAAAAGAGCAACAATAGTAAAAAAAGTAGTGAACAGTCAAGATTTTAGGGTTATTTGTGACTAGAATTTCCTGTAGCTTTTGTAAATTGGTAAATTTCCCTCAAGTTAATGTAGCAGACAGTACCACTTCAGATGGGAGGGTGAATCACAGAATCATTGAGGTTGGAAGGGACTTTTGAGACCATATAATCCAACCTTCCTGCTCAAGCATGATCCTTGGTATTCCTTCAGCCATGAAATGCAACTCTTGGATATTTTTTGTCCATGAAAATAATTGTTTGTTCTACTGAAATTCACATTGTATTGATTTGTCTTTATATATCTATTGAATCAAATAAAATTCACATGGAAACAGTAATAATTTTTATGGAGTTATCTGTGCCTTAATATACCTGCATCACAATTATATTTGTTGAAGACAGTTGGATTACTATAACTTACTTTCTTGTTGCTTTACAACAGGTAGGAGGAAAGCATGGTTTAATCTGGTTCCTTGTCTGCTGGGTTAACAGGTTAATGTTCTTTCTGAAAGTACCAGATTTGTGAAGTCAAAGATGGCCACCAGAGTTGATAAGAGTCAGACCCTGATACGTTAAAAGAATGACAAAGCTTACATTTGTCCTTTTTGAAGGTTAAGCTTTTTGTTATCCAGAAGAATAGTGGACTCTTCAAAGATGGTGGTACAGGCAGGAATAGTGATGAATAAATAACATTTGAGCTACCAGAGTGAGAAGAAACGGATCCTGCTTTTTTTCTTTTTGCTAACTTGCTATCCAATGGCATATTAGAGGTTGGGTTTTTTTTATTTGTTCAAAGATAATCCAGCTTTGCAGTATGGTAGATAACACAATACGGTGTTGCTTTATTAAATATTCTGAGATTTGACAACTCATGCAGTAGCTCTTTTGAACAGATTTGTTGAAATTAGCAAAATTGGTTTGTTAACTGATGATAACATTTTGAAAGGCTTTTTTAATGAGAGGATTAAATTTGTTGAGAAAGTGTTTTAGTGTAGTGTTGAGAAATATTACTGAGGTGTAAATTACCTTCTCTGTTCTCTCTGTTGATAGATGAGATACGTTAACAGTGGGTTTGAATAGTTTGCTTTAGGCCATACAATTGAAGTAGTCTGTGCTGGATAATATTACAATTTAAGGAAAAGCTGCTTATAAACATCACGATTTTTATAGTTTTATGTATCGTATTTGTTTATTTCTTTAGAGATAATAATTGAAATTGGGGGAAAAACTCAGTTTGCTGTACATAGTAACATAAGTATTAAATTTTATGTGTATGTGTAAAAAGACCTGTGGTGTTTTTTTTTTTTGTTGTCTTTACCATAGATATTGAAGCTCAAATTCGAGAAATTCAAGGAAAAAAGCCTGCTCTTGATGAAGCACAAGGAGTAGGCCTTGATTCCACAGGATATTATGATCAAGAAATTTATGGTGGCAGTGACAGCAGGTTTGCTGGATACGTCACTTCTATTGCAGCAACTGAATTGGAAGATGTAAGTGATTTTATGTATTTTGTTTGTTTAGGACATGCATTATAAGTATTTTGGGATTAATTTTGAGTAACTTTTAAAGCAGTTGCTGAAGTAAAAGCAGTTATTATCATTAAAGCCATACTGGACCAGATATGTCTTATCCAGGAAGCTCATAAGTTCTAAGTCTGGCTTATACTTCATGAATTGTGCTTTGAAATTCATGTAGGCCCAAGCAGAAGGCAAAAAGTTGTGGCCTGGTACTTAATCAGTGTTAGCCTTGACTGGAATGGTTGACTTTGTTCTGTTCCTACTGCCAAGGTGAAAAATGATGGTGAAAAAAAAATACAATAAAACTTGGACCAACAAACTTAAGTGACTATTTTAAGATTTCTGTTTCTTCTTCGTTTCAAATTTCAGAGCAATTCTTGAGAGTTGACTTTTTCACTGTATTATGTTCTCCTTATGTATCTTACTTGTAAGATTACTTTATATTAATTTCTAATGTTAAACATTTGACCACACTTTCAGTTGCAGGACTAGTCAGAAACTACAGTTCTCACCATAAATACATAGGCAATTACATATTATACTGAGTGAATTATATTTTTAAGAGGAAGGAAGATTGTTATGTTCAGCTTAGTACTAGTTGATAAATTTTTGTAGTGATGTACTATGTGTCATCTGTAGACTTCTAAGAATTCAATAATTAAAAATTTTCATTGCAAAGTCTCACTGAAATCAGGTCATAGTTCTAAGAGCAGTTTTTCTTTTGGGTTGCTGTAAATTAGTGCACAGAAACTGGCTGCTAATAGGAGGAAACAGATAGCAAAAGCATCTTACGTGTTCCAAGTACTTGTTATTGCCATTGTGATTGAGAAGGTGTAACTAAATCAACATGAATATATTTTTGAATTTTTCACTGTTTCTGAAGCTTTTTTAATTGGGTTATTTACTGAAATTTTGTTCTATACCTAGCTGGCTTTTAAGAAAAAATGATTTGAATTTCTGTGCACCAGTTTTCATATGCCAACTAGGGAACTATATCAATAGTGCTAATATGAAATACAGACTTTTTGTATAACTAGTGTAGACAGCATACTGGATTAAATGTAGCACGTTGCAGAATACTTGAGTGTTACAGAGAAAAAGTTATCTCTTTAGTGATGCGGATAGGTTTATCTGATTCAGCAACTTGGGAGTAATAAAACAAGCTACATGAAGAAGCTTGCTAAAATTTGGAATTAACTATTCTTGTCCATTTTCATATTTTGTATGACCACAGTATGTTAATTTGTCATTATTTTATCTAAATATTATATCAACATGACAAATTTGCCATGTGTTTTTATTGACAGGATGATGATGACTACCCTTCTACAAGTTTGCTTGGCCAGAAGAAGCCAGGGTACCATGCTCCAGTGGCATTGCTTAATGACATACCACAGTCTACTGAACAGGTGTGTCTTAATTGAAGGAACAATAAAATACTGATGCAGGTATTAGGGGAAGGAAGTGTTAAAGTTTTTTGAGACCAGGTCTTGTCTTCTGGAAATACAAGATGTATGCAAAGGGCTATGGTGTTTTAATTTTGCTATAAGCTTGTTACTGCTTTTGTTTCGAATTCCACAGGGTGATAAAATTGGCACTTCTGCATGTAAAGGCAATGTGGGCATATACACTAAACTATTAAAATTTTTTATTGATAGGTCAGATACTTCAAAAATGAAAATAACTGGAAAATTTAATGTCCTTTATACTTCTAGTTTTGTAAAGAAGATGTAATCACTTAGGTTCATTTCTGGAGTATTTTTCTGTGAAATTTAAAAACCTATGAAGAAGCGTTAAGTCCCCCTGCAAAAAAACAGAGAAGGGTTGACAGCATGAGATGCTTTGGTGGCAGGTGAATAAACTCTTAAAATAGTAAATTTTTATCAGAAATTATTTTGTAAGAAATTCTGTTAAGAAAAATTAAAATTCCAGTTACAGAAGTAAAATTTATATTGGCATAGTGTTTTGACATTCCTGCCTAGTTGAGATCAAAAATAAAGTAGACCTTTTTAGCAATACTGAAAATGAACACAGGTTTATGGCCAGCAGACGCTTTCCATATTGTTCTTCATACATATGTGACTAACAAGCTTTTTTCGGTTTTTAGTATGATCCTTTTGCAGAACACCGTCCTCAAAAGATTGCAGATCGGGAAGATGAGTACAAAAAGCACAGGCGGATGATGATAATTTCCCCTGAGCGTCTTGATCCTTTTGCAGATGGTAATTTATTTTGAGTTTTCTATACCCTTTATGAAATTTGTTGTCTTTAATTGTCTTTAGCCCTTTGATTTCTGTTGGCATGCTTATGAACTTAGTTTTGTTTTAAGCATCCCCTTTTCATAGAGATTTGGTTAAAAACTAGATGCCATATTCTTCATCTTTATAATACGAGTTTTCTTTCCAGGTAGAAGGACAAGAAAATAATGAGCCATTGCCATAGAAACACAAAGGGTTAAAGGTTTCTCTTTTCATTTTGTTTTGGGTTGTGCATTATACTTTGAACAACTTGTGTATTGAGTGCTCAGATTCTTTCAGTACCTTGAAAGTTTTCATTCCAAGTCATAGATTTACAGGGTTACTGCTTTTGAAATGCTAGTTCTCAAAATAGAGCACCTAATTCTTACCATCCTATGTAAACTTAGGTGGTATAGCTAAAAGAAACAAAAGCATATATAAGACTTTGATACTATTAATAGTTCAAGTCTGTTCTGATAATTTTGGAATGCAAGTCAGGAAAAGGGGTGTTAGTGGGTCTGACAGAAACTTTCTTCAGGTGAGTGAGTTTCACATGTGGCAATAAGGTGCCTGTTGGCTTAAAATTAGTAGCTATTTTGCAGGTTTTACAAATGAGAATTTCAGCCTGCATGAATTACTAGGGATATTAATAATTTTACTTGCTTAATTGTAATTGATATAAACATGTATTGTCAGAATTCACAGGCCCATACTAACTGTCCTTAATTTCTTTCCTACAGCAGTACTGCTATATGCCAGTCCTGTCTGCATTCTTAAGGGTGCAGTTCAACACATCCTGTGTAGATTATGGTGAAAAAGTATTCCAAAGGAAAGTCCTATCAAAGCTAGTGTCAGAATGACACAGGCAATTGGGCAATGATCTTCAGCATAGAAATGTTTAAGTAGTTTGTGTTTTTTCCCTAAATTATAATGCTATACTACTTGTATAGCAAATCTGCACATTTTTCTTAAAGAAAAGTGTTTTTCTTGACAAGTCTCATTTTTATAAAGTTGGGCTTCTTGTAAAGTATTTAAAAGTTTAGTTATTGAAAGATACACAGCATAAAACAACATATGGTATACAAAACCCATTACCTGTGAGTATCGTTGTGGTGGTATATGTACTGTATTGCGTTCAGCTCCCAATCACAATTGTACCTGGAGTAGAGAAGAGGGGGAAAGTATCATCAAACAGTTTTTTGGGGTTTTTTGTTTTGTTTTCTTTCTTTAATGAAGCCCTTTTACAATATTACACTAGAAGATCTGGGAAACGTGTCCAGATTTGTCAAACTTATAAATGGGTCCTTATGATGAAACATTTTAAACATTACTTAGGTATGCAATAGTTACTAATAGTCAGATAACAACTAGGATTTAACAGCTTACACAAGGTAATGTTTTGAATATAAATATCTTTCCAAAGTGTTACTAATGGTAAAGAGATAATTTTCTAGGCTTCTATTCTGCTGCTTGAAGTCAGAACTGCTGATGGAGACAAAGGCACGAAAGTGTACGTATTCCGGATTAGCAACCCAGGAACCCATCACTTCTGAAGACTCTTAACTGTGTTGTCATTTTATCATTTATATCGACTTTTAAATATTTGTTTGAAACTGCAGTAGTTACATTTGTGTTCAAACAGGTTAAATTGATCAGCAAACTGAATAAACGTAAGATACATGTAATTTTTTAAATTTTCAATCAAAAAGTAAAATTAAATGATCATGGAATAATATAATATTAGAGCAGGACAATAGAAAATGTCAGTAGTTTCTGCTTATCCTGTACTCATTGTGCTCCATTCCTGTTGCTGTTCTCTTCCGCAGGAGGGAAGACACCAGATCCTAAAATGAATGCCAGAACGTACATGGATGTTATGCGTGAACAGCATTTAACAAAAGAAGAGGTGTGTGGAGGGGAGGGGTTTATATTTGAACTTAGTTTCTTTGTCCAGCCTTTGAAACCATGTTAAGAAAGTGGGAACAGAAATTCTATTGGCTTTTTGTCTTGATTTAAAAGTCCTTTTCTTTGGAAAATCCTGTTCTTCACATGTTGAAAGTAGAATTTAAAGAGGAAAATTTTGAAAAACATTTGTTCTATATAATACCTAAACAATGGAGGGAGAAATAGTCTCAATATATTTTAATCTAATTTTTTTTAATCGCCCTTGGACTTTATTTTCTTTCAGAGGATGAGAGACAAACTAACAGTCACTGAGGGGTGTTCAGTGTGAGACGTTGGGTTTTGTGAGCTCTGTGTAAACAGAATCCAGGGAGGTTTTAAAAGGCTTTTGTTGAAGCACTTTCAACAGATGTTACAGTACTAAGAACTGGTGTAAGGTTGACATTTGGTTTTAAATATTTAAAAAAAAAGTAAAAGTACATGCTTTATATTAAAAATTAATTTTAATAGGTAAGAAGATATTGGTAATATAGTCAAATTTCTTGTCTAATACCTACAGTGCCATCTTGTTAATTAGAGCAAGATCTTGTAGTTCCAGTGACCTCCGTAGATTTACATTGGTTTATCCTACTTGACTTACCTTAATTGAGGAATTAGTTTATGATTTTGACAGTCTTACTGCTTATGGATCCACTAATAAGTGAAAAACAGTCTGGGTTAGTGTACTTTAACAATGTCATCCTAGAATTTTAAATAAGAATTTTGGGGCTTTTTTACGTTGTGGAATATAACTCACGTGAACACATTTTCTAACTCATCTGCCTTTAATTTACTGAAGTGGAATTTGTTTGGAACAGATGTGTGATGATTTTAAGACATGCATGTAAGTGGCAGAAATTGATGGCACTCAGAATTCTCCATGTGTTTGCATTTGTTGTAATAATGGCTTTTATAAGAAACCAATTGAAACAGCCCCTCCAAACACATAGCTGCTCTGTCAGTATAGAAGGATTTGAAAAGAGAATGAATTTGAAATGAAAGCAGTACTTAATTACATGTTATTTGAGCAAAACCTCAAAAAATAGCATAAAAAGATACAATACAGCTGAAAAATCTTTTAGAGGTATAATCTGAAGAGGACTTCTTAAGAAATCTGTTTCTTATGTTTGTCTTTGTGTCCTTGAATAGAGGGAAATTAGGCAACAGCTAGCTGAAAAAGCTAAAGCTGGAGAGCTTAAAGTCGTCAATGGAGCTGCATCTCAGCCACCTTCAAAACGCAAACGGCGTTGGGATCAGACAGCTGATCAGACTCCTGGTGCTACACCTAAAAAATTATCCAGTTGGGATCAAGCAGAGGTAATAACCCTAGGTTCATCAGCCTGTCTACATAAGACATTATTAATGCTAATCCTCTTGGATTTTGGAAGTTCTTACTTTACTAAAAAAAGAGTAACTAGCAGTCTTTTACTGTATAGTATGAGAGATATTAATAGTTTTGGTTTTGTCTTGTGTAGACTCCTGGACATACACCATCTCTGCGATGGGATGAAACTCCAGGCCGTGCAAAGGGTAGTGAAACTCCTGGTGCCACCCCAGGCTCAAAGATATGGGATCCAACTCCCAGTCATACCCCAGCAGGAGCTGCAACACCCGGACGGGACACACCTGGTCATGCAACACCAGGCCATGGAGGTGCCACTTCCAGTGCACGTAAAAATCGATGGGATGAAACACCTAAAACAGAAAGAGGTATTTATGGTGAACTGGAAAGCTCATAAAAAGTTTTGAATGGTTAATTGTATGGGATTTTTTCACCTTAAGTAAACAGTAGATTCAGAAGTCAGGCAAGAAGTAATTATATTGTGACATCTAGTGGTTGATGTGAAGTGATGTTTTTATCCGAGTTTGTAGCATTGAGTTCTGTCTGTTAGCTTAACTCACATCTGTGAAAGCACTTCGGCTCAAAAGTTGAATTAAAGTTTTGTGGTATATCTAGTGACTGTTGCAGGTTGGGATTTTAATGCATAGTGGACGTAGTAAAGGAGCTCATGCTGAATTGCTTTTCATGATACATTTGTGTGTGTGTTGTTCTTGAGATGTTTAATTTTTTTGAAGTGGTTAGCATTAAAACAAGTTTTGGAAGCATTTTCTCACCTGCCTGATTTGAATTAGCCTTGTGCGTCAGAGAACAGTGAAACACCATTGTTCCTTAATGCTTTTATCAACCGAGTATCTGGAGTGCTTTGTCCAATTTCGAGAATATCTGAGTTCTTTTGTATTTTTTAGCATTTTATCTATTTATGCTAAGATTCAGCAAGAAGATGACATGCTTTTTTCATAAAATGGAGTTCTTTGTTGGATGTTTTTAGTGTAATACCTGTGTTTTAGTGTAATGCCGAAGTAGTCTTTACTTTTTGTCTGCTGTATTTGTTTATTTGATACTTGTTGATTTGTATAGACATTTGTATAGAGGATGAGATACTGAAAATGGATTTGGATATTGATACTATGGATGGAGTATATACTGTTCAGCTTTCTGCAAAAATTGTTTTTTTTTTCCTTAGATACTCCGGGACATGGTAGTGGATGGGCTGAGACACCTCGTACAGATAGAGGTGGTGATTCCATTGGTGAGACACCAACCCCAGGAGCAAGTAAAAGAAAGTCACGATGGGATGAAACACCTGCTAGCCAGATGGGTGGCAGCACTCCTGTTCTGACACCTGGCAAAACACCCATTGGTACACCAGCTATGAACATGGCAACTCCTACACCAGGTAAGCCCAGTCCACTCTCTAAGGCTTCACTTTCTTTTGTGGAAGTGAAGCACTTACCTTTGTATTGTATTTTGAAATAGACTTCTGCCTAACACGTTCTCCTTCTTGTTTGAAAGCAGTCAGTATATGCTCAGTTTACCATTTTTAATGCCTGCAGCAGCTGGGTTCTGGAGAGGAATCGAGGCTAAGGTTATATGTCTTTTCCTGTTCAATTTAGTTGGTAAAAAATTGATAAAAGGCTCTCTAAAAGGTTGAGATCTTACTGGCTACAGATTTCAAGTGCTATGGAAACTTTGGCTGAAGAGAGCACTTAAAGGTTAAGTAAACAAGTCATCTCCTTCCGCATACAGAAGATTTTTTTTAAATTTTTTATTATTTTTTTTAAATTTGAATATAGGTCATATCATGAGCATGACTCCTGAACAGCTGCAGGCTTGGCGTTGGGAAAGGGAGATTGATGAGAGAAACAGGCCACTTTCTGATGAAGAATTGGATGCTATGTTTCCGGAAGGATATAAGGTAATTCATCTGGATTAAAATACAACAGATCATGATGTTGTGGGTTTGTTTTTTTTTTTCCCCCCTGCCAGAGGATATTGGGGTTTTTTATTATTTATTAAAACCAAGTAGTCCCAGAAGTAGAATGTTTCACATGAAGTATTGATTATTGATCATAGACATTTGTTCTATTCAGTTACTGATTTATTGTGAATCAGTTAGAAAGGGAGAATTAAGATGATCTCAAAGGCCAGATCTTATTCTGCTTCTCAATGTTGGGAATGCCTGTCAAGGCCAGAAACGAGCTCTGAATGGACTGATAAAAATCTTAAGTCCAGGTGTAGAAAAACATAGAAGAGTCACAAATTCTAACTCAGCAAGTATGCTGTATTGATACAGATATTGAAGTGCTGCTTTAATACTTTGTAAAGAGACTTCAGAGTTTATTATCTAAGCTCTCAACAGTGGAAGTGAGCTTTCTTCTGAAATACTGTCAATACAGGATAAGCATGAATACAAACTGTCATGGTGGATTTGTTTGTATTGCTGTAAACACAGGATCTAATGTATCCAATAACACTCGCACAAATCCCCAAACAAATAAAAGGGAAGATGCAAGTTTAGTAATGGTTTGAATTTGATGCCTTCCTCTTTTTGTTTCTGTTGTGATAAGATAAATTTTATTCTTTCTTCTGTAGGTTCTTCCTCCACCAGCTGGTTACGTACCTATTCGCACTCCAGCTCGGAAGCTTACAGCAACTCCAACACCTTTGGGTGGTATGACTGGATTCCACATGCAGACAGAAGACCGGACTATGAAGAGTGTTAATGACCAGCCATCTGGCAATCTTCCATTCCTAAAACCAGATGATATCCAATACTTTGATAAACTGCTGGTAAATGAGGTTTCACTCATGCTGATTAAAATTTTCTGATTTCTTTTGAGTATGCAGCAATGCCTATTTATTTGTTTGGAATTATTTGTAGGTTGATGTTGATGAATCAACTCTGAGTCCTGAAGAACAGAAGGAGAGAAAAATAATGAAATTACTTCTGAAAATAAAGAATGGCACACCTCCCATGAGAAAGGTGAGATGAATTGTCAGATGCAATTTCATTTTTCAAAAACCTGCATTTGTTTTCAGGTTTAGTTTCAGTTGTCCATGGGATCTTCATTAACATAGTCTTCTGAACTTTGATATCTGTTGGCATGGTTTAACCCCAGCTGGCAACTAAGCACCATGCAGCCGCTTGCTCACTCCCCACTGGTGGGATGGGGGAGAGAATTGGAAAAGTAAAAGTGAGAAAGCTCACGGGTTGAGATGAGAACAGTTTAATAATTG